GCCGGAGTTGGAACAGTGGAAAGACGAGTAGCAAGCCGCAGGCGTTGCTGAAACTCAAAAGCTTCCAACGTACTTGCACGGATACGAGGGTTGACGTTTACTAATCCGAACGCCTATTCATAGATCAGACGTTCTCACGGCTGCCGACTCCAGAAGGCTGAGCTAGGCCACACATTTGTAGTTAAAAAAGCCGCTTCCATTTGAAACAGATACTATTCCTGCAAGTTTCATCGCTAAATACCATAAGCAGGCCCGAGCTGTAACCCGTCCAGGATTCTTCAGCAAAGTGCGGAGAAACGCATTTTAGAGAGAACAGCAGATTTTGCCCGAAAGTTTGTACATCAGAATCAAGTATATAAAATATATATATTTGAGTAGAAGTATAAATAAAATGAGGACTCTAAGAGAATTAGTATTCCTCCTCTTCCTCGTGTGTATCAGCACTGTTTTCCCCGACTTCTTCGTAGTCCTTCTCCAGGGCAACCAAGTCTTCGCGAGCCTCAGAAAACTCACCCTCTTCCATCCCCTCACCAACATACCAATGTACGAAAGCTCGTTTAGCGTACATGAGATCAAACTTGTGGTCGAGCCGAATCCATGCTTCGGAGATCGCCGTTGTATTTCCTAGCATGCAGACTGCACGGGAAACTTTTGCTTGATCGGATCCCGGAACAAGCGTAGGCGGCTGGTTGTTGATGCCTACTTTGAAACCCGTAGGACACCAATCCACAAATTGGATCGACGTCTTTGTTTTTATGGCCGAGATGGCAGCATTAACATCCTTGGGGACAACATCACCACGGTAGAGCAGACAGCAAGCCATGTACTTGCCATGGCGTGGATCGCATTTAACCATTTGATTTGACGGTTCAAAGCATGCATTTGTGCTTTCTGCGACAGTAAGTTGCTCATGATAAGCCTTGTCGGCCGAGATAATTGGGGCGTAAGCTGTCAGCGGAAAATGAATTCGCGGATAGGGGACTAAGTTCGTTTGAAATTCTGTAAGATCAACGTTAAGAGCCCCATCAAAGCGTAAGGAAGCTGTGATCGAGCTGACAACTTGGCTGATTATTCTATTTAGATTTGAGTAGGATGGCCGTTCAACATCAAGATTACGTCTACAAGCGGTAAAGAATTAAAATAATAATTACCGGCAAATGTCAAAAATTGCCTCGTTGTCAACCATGAAGGCAACATCCGAATGTTCTAGCGTCGTATGTGTGGTGAGGACGGAATTATAGGGTTCAACGACAGCCGTGGATATTTGAGGAGCAGGATATATGGAAAACTCCAATTTCGATTTCTTTCCATACTCCACACTGAGCCGCTCCATCAAGAGCGAAGTAAACCCAGATCCGCTGCCACCTCCGAAGGAGCGAAAGATTAGGAATCCTTGAAGTCCAGAGCATTGGTCCGTGGACTTGCGAATGCGGTCAAGCACAAGGTCAATTAGTTCTCGTCCGATGGTATAATGGCCCCGCGCATAGTTGTTTGCTGCGTCCTCTTTGCCACTTATCAGTTGTTCGGGGTGAAACAACTTTCCATAGGTACCGGTTCTTACTTCGTCTATCACAGTAGGTTCCAAGTCGACGAAAACAGTTCGTGGTACATGTCTCCCAGAGTCACTTTCACTGAAGAAGGTTTTGAAAGAGTCGCCGCAGCTTCCAATGCATTTGTCGTCAGGCATTTCTCCATCAGGTTGAACTCCGTGCTCTAAGCAGTAAAGTTCCCAGCAAGCATTGCCCATCTGAACACCCGCTTGACCAACATGAATACTAATGACCTCGCGCTAAAGGATTAATGCTTAAAAAAGGTGGACTTACCATTGCTTAAAATTGTAAAAGACTGAACTGAACTATTTGTGAAGGTAGGAAGCAGCCTATAGCACAAAATGTACTTAACCGTTTTATACACCACAACCGAAGAAATTAACCAATAACTTTCGCAAAGCGCCAAATCTCAAGGTCGACCAAGGACATATGATGGATCGCGTAAAAGAGTAGGTGGTGATCACCTGTTAATTATTTGACTACTCCAGATCCTATTACGTAAACGGAACTGAAAAGTTCAAAAGGCAAATCAAATCCTAAGCTCTCTTCTCCGTTAATCTAGGGAAGTTTTTTTATAGGGATGGAAAGGGTCAGATGAGGGGTCGGTGTTTCCAGCTTGAAAATTCATGAGTACGGGTCATTTTTCCAGCGAACCATTGCTTTCACTTATAAAATATTAGAACGCGAACCCCCCCACCGCAGGTATTTAACAAATCGGTATATGAATGAACACGTAGAAATAAATGATGGGAAAGGTGTAGCACGGACGCGGACAATGCCCTCATCACTGAGGTAAAATTAATCTGCCATATCAAAAATATCCTAATATTTGGATATTTTAACCCTCCAGACAATGATTGGGAATTGATGCACTGCTCACCATTACAGAACCCACTCTAACAGAAACTATAAATTTGGTAAGTGACGAATTTCTTAACCAGCATGTCACAATGGCCACGCGGTTGCGAAGTGGCCAACAGTCTTGCTGACTGGATCTCGCCATTAGTAGAGATGAAAGCTGTATCCTTGGATTAAAATAGTCAGACCACTTTTGGCCGAAGTGATTATTGTGTTCCTGTCTGGGATTATAGCCATTTCTTGGTACCCATCGCTCGTGCAATAAGCGTGAGGAATGCATGGAAAGGGGATTACACTGAAATGAAAAGACTATTTAACGTGCCTGACTGGAGCCCTGCATACGTACCCGACCCAAGCGACGCCTGGTGCTTCTTCAGAAACTTAGCTCGCCAACTAGTAGAGAACTGTTGCTTGCTTAAGTAAAGCTTGCGAGTCTTCCGGTCGGAATGGGTGACACCGATCATAAAAAGAAACCTCAAGAAGAAAAGCACTCTATGGAAAACATATGCCAGATACCAACAACCCGACCACTCTTCAGAATTCAAGAAATAGCGCAATATATGCCGAAAACTACTACGAAAAGAACGAATGGCCTTTGAGACAGAGCTAGTCAAGGGAATAGCTAACAACCTAAAAAGATCCTTTTTTGCGTGAATAAGGCAAAACGCAATCGAGATCCCATTTCTTGTCTGAAAGTTCAAGGTCGAGCGCTGGCTTCGAAATTTCAGCTAAGTCATCCGTCTTATATCAATCTATTTATCTAAGA